GTCAATTACATTTCAACTAAAAAAACAGAATACATACACACACACAAAGACTCCTCCCTGGGAACACAATTCCCAGGTCTGGGAAACAGGGCTCGGATTAGTTTTTAGACAGCCATCCGGCAGTCCCCAAGAGCACAACTTCATGTGGCTGTGCTCTGATTCTTTATCAGAATATACATCAAAGAGATATATCAAGGAAATATATCAAAATATTAAGTTTTAAGGGTTGTTTCTAAAAAATAGGAGCAAAAGAGCTCTACTTTTACACTGTTATTACAAATTTTAACAATGAACAGATACACAATAATTCAATGTAAGTTACCCATTAAATTCCTTACAGGGAAGGAAATTTAAGATCACCAAAATCCTCATTTTAAAGATCAGAAAACTGAAGGCTAGAAAGACTGACTCAAGCAAGGTCATCCAGCTGTTAAACAGCACAGCTTCAACTCTGTACAAGGTTTCTTAAAGAGGTTTCAGGGTTTCTAGTCTCAGTGATACAGTCTTTGAAATATCTACTGAAATACTGATGCTATCCCTGTACATATGAACTCAGATTTCAAATACAAATGTCAAAGCCCATAAGAATCAAGGTTAATGTAAAATATTCTAAGAAAATGGCAAAAAGGATCATTAACTACAGCACTGATTAAATAATTCTGAAGCAACTTAAATTCTTCAAGGCTTTCTTACATGGCATACTGCTAAAGGGCATGTGTTCCTGCATATCCCAATTTTCATGGGTTGTAAGTACACAGAAAAGCAGTTATTTCTCTAAATTCACTTTTTTGTACTGTGTTTACATAACCAACAAAAGCATACACATATATCCCTCACAAAAGCTGTTATCATACACCTAAAACTCTTCCTCTATGGCAAACCAGAAGTCACATATAAAAAACAGGAAAACCTTATCAGAGCTGGAGAGAAGCTGCTCAAAATTCATTTAACTACTGACAAGTAATTTAATAGTACTAAACAGAAAGCCCTATTTTTTAAAACATTGATGCTTCACTTCTCCATTATGTCACAAGATATAAAACATGCTTTTATAACTAGATTTCTTATTTTATAACAGCATGGATGATTTCATAATAGAAAATGATTCAATAAGCAATTGTGTAGATATCTACTGTCTGCCATGAACTTTCTAGCATACAGAGGTGAAGAAACAGTTCCTCACCTCATTATTTGGCATAAGGCTTATGGGAAACTATTCATATACTACACCAACACAGGCAGCTATGGCTGGAGTATTTAAATTGAATAGAAGAAAATAAAATCCTATCCTATGACTCACTCTTTTTATTCCTTTCTTGTGGACAGATTATATATATGAAGGCCTGCCCACCACCAGGACCTCCCCACTCACCTAAAACTGTACATTAGGTAGGTCCTAAATAGCCTGCATTGGATATTTTTAAGGTACCTAAAGCTGGGTGCTCAACTTCCTTGTATTAAGACAAGAGCAGTCAGTTAAAGACAGAAAAACACCATCTTCATTTCCTAGGCTTTGGAGAGATGGCCCTGGATGAGAGTATCCTCTCAATCAGCATTGGAATTAGCAAGACTCAAACTGCATTTCAAACAATAACCTAAGTATTAGTCTTGGAAAAATAATATGCAAATTATCCTTAATAATAGTTGACCCTTTACAGTTTAATACATGCCAAGCACTGCGCTAAGCATTTTTCACGTAGTTATCTTGTTTGCACCTCAAAATAATGAGGTAGAATATACTTAGTCCCATTTTACAAAAAAGAAAAGGACACAAGGGAAAGTAACCTGACCAGTGTCATGAAGCAGGTTATTGGCAGTCAGGATTCAATGACAGCCTTCTGATCCCCTTGACTTAAACACTATGTAATGTTGGTTAATAGCAAATTCATAATCAAGAAATGATTTTATCTAGGGCACAAAGTTTTCAATCTATTGCCAAATATTTATTTTACAGCTACTATGTGCCAGACACTTAAATAAATGATGACAAACAAGACAGACAAGGTCCCTGCTTTTCAAGCTTGCACTGTGGATGAAGGAAAAGGGAAAAAGGTTTCACTCATCACTGCTACGTAGAAAGTAAGTAAGCATAAAAGGAGGATTTGAGTTAAGATCTAAATGACTTTGAAAATCTGAAGACATTTCCCAAGAAAGGGAAAACAAGCAAGAAGGACAGGAGACAAGACAAAGTATATTATGTAACAGTGAAAAAATATGATGAGGTTGGAATGGTAAGCATAGGCTAGTTCATACAGGATCTTATAAACAGCGTTTGTTGACAAATTTGGTGGTTTTATTTGTTGGTAAGGTTAATAGGGAAGAGAGTGAAGGTTTTTGAAAAGGAAAATGACATGATCTGATTGGTACATAAAGATCATTCTGACTATATATGAAGAGTAGAAACTAAGACAAAAATAGGGCTAGGACACTACCTGCAAGAAGAGTAACTGTAGCCTGGACTTGAGCTATAGCATGGGAGATGGAGAATAATGGATTTTAAAGGAAAAAATCAAGACTTTCAAGTTGACTAGATGTGGGGAAGAAGAGGAAAAACTGTACTATGTAATCAAGAATAACACCAACACTTGACCCCACTAAAACCCTGCGTCCAAGTCAGTCTCATTTACTCAGAATGTGTTTTGACTATGTTAGTTTTAAGATATCTAGTAGATTGACAGTTGGTAATATATAAGTGTTCATTTTGTTTAATTTTCAAAGCTTTAATACTGGATACATTTACTGGGAATGTCATAAAATGCTAAGAATAATCAGGTGCTTATAGGTCAGGAAAGGAATGCAGTTACAACAGGACTGTGTTCTAAATTCACAATTTAAAAAATAGTGATCTATGGATCATAAATATTTATTAGGAATAAGCAGTTTCCCAAGTTGCATTTCTTCTATGTTCTTCCTTTCCCATCTCCCTAACTATGGGCTATTAAGAATAAACTCCTATTGATTCAAAATTCAAATTGAATGGTTCAAATAACCACCCTCCCAACTTTTGCAGGTAAGGGATAGTAGTAAACAAATCATCAGAGATCTGGTTTCTAAAAATTAACCTTAAGTACAAGACACCAGACCAGCAGATGCAGCAGCACTGCCTTTCCAAAGATAAATGGTGTACTTATATGAACACAAGGCACCGAACATTACGAATGCATTTTGAAATGAGTTTCCTAATCATTAGCTTAATTTTAAAGTTATGTTTATCTTTGAAAATATTCTAATTTCTGAAGTATTACTAATTCATTATCTTTATTAACCTCTTAATACCACTGTTTGGTTATAAACCAAACACTGCTTATCAAAGTTTAGTTATTTGGTGTAATTTGTTTTGATTTAAAACTTATTTATAATGTAAAAATCCTCATTTTCAAATTCTGGGGAACATATGCTCATTTTTCTAAATTTAACATAAGAATGAACTATGTGTTCTATAAAACTATAAGATACACAAGTATGAAATCTGTACCATTACAGAAAAATCAAATTTAAAGAATTCTAAACTTAAAACTGAAAAATTCTAAGGAAAGTCTACTCACATTACCCTAACACAGTGCTTTCAAACTTCGACATCAAAATCACCTGAAAGGCTTAAGAGATTGTTGGGCTCACACCTCAGTTTCTGATTCAGCAGGTTTGAGGTGGTATCCAATAATTTGCATATCTAAGATCCCATATGATGCTGCTACAGCTAACTTGGTACCACACTTTAAAAACCCTTACTCCAATACATAGTACACACATTTTTCATTAAAAGATACCTTTCTCTATTAAATTTACTCAAGTTTTTTAAATGGTAGATTATCCAGTAGAATCACATATTCATCATTTCCTACAAAATAAAAATTTTATATGAAGGCTATACCTAAACCCAAGTCAATGTGATTATGCTCAAAGCCAATCCAATTCTGGATTCAAAACTATTCTAAGGAATAAAATTATGTGGCACTGTATGATATCATTAATATGAAATGTCCTGTATTGTCAAATCTGGACAGGTAGTAAACTAGTGGCTGTCTAGGACTGGGGAGAAGGGAATGGAAAGTGACCACTAATGGGTATGGAAGTAACTATACTAAAATCCACTGAATTACATACTTGCAAACAAGTGAACTTTACAATATAAAGTACATCTCAAAAAAGCTGTTTAAAGAAATTACATGGAAGTTCATACAGTAACTAAGCAACATTAAACCATTTTAGACACTTTTAGAAATACATAATTCTAATCAGAGTATCAACAGCTTTGTTTCCTCTGGTCCTAGGAAACAAGCGTACTTTACCAAAATTATCACAAATTCTAAGTTTTAAGTCTAAAATCAGTGAGATTATATACTACTTTTAAGGTTATTAAATTACAGTATGTGGGACATTATTTTCCTAATTTTTGACAGCCCTTACCTAGTATAACATTATATACCTAGAAGTAATAGTTCAAAATGCAGTTACAATTTTTGAAAAATTTACTTCAACAAATCGGTTCTCTGCCCATATATCCACCAGTAGCAGAGAGCAGTCAGTGGCTCTTGGGACCATATAAATACACGCAGAAAGAACTATCCAGATTTCTTTTTCTCACCTTTCCCACAATGTACCACTTGTAATGATTACTATCACAAAGCCTAAATAAGACGCCAGATTGTCCCTATAAAAAGAACTTATACTAAGTATGAATACTGAATGCCTTGTTAAAACTTTCCTTACATATTTTCATTCATCAGGCATTCTTCTGGTTGCTGAGAGGACCCATATTTTTCTTCCTTTTATGATTAAAGAAACATTTATTCCAACTAAAGTTAACTACAATATCTAACTCTTCTCCTTAAAAATAAACTTACAAAGTGAGACTTGGCTTTTTCCAAAGGTCAAAGATGAATATAAAGTTTCCTATTACTTCATTATTTTCCCTTTGAATCAAGCTACTTGTTTGTCATTGTATGCCCAATGACCCTGCTAAATTAACTCAGATTTGCCTTTAGACTAGAAGGACTTACGTTTCATGAGTTCCAAAAAAGAAAATGGGTAGTTTGTTTGTGGGTGGTTTTACAGCTCCATCTGGAACTTCATCTACCTAAAAAAAAAAATCAGAAAAATTAAAGTCTTTTAAATCATACACATCTCAACACACCAACAACTCAATAAACTGAGAACAAGACATTCAAAAAGAATCAAATACAAAGTGGACCAATTCTAAAGGTCCACAATCCCTTATCCCCAGTTCTGAAACCCAAGAAATTTCTCTAAACTCATTTTGATGGCAAAACCCAGATGGACACTGAAGCTAGTCCATCATTTCTTCTATCCACCTAGTGTTTCTACTCATTTTCTCTGCAGAAATACGGTTAATTATCATGTGCCATCCTAGACTCTACCAAGAACAAAATTTTATGTACCATCATTATCTTTCTAAATCCCCAAATTCTGAGCTTTTAAATATACCTGGCCCTTAAGTACCTGAGATGATGGACTCTGAACCTGATTATTTCTGCAGGGAGGCTATACAAATATTGGAGTAATGTAAAAGCAGACACTGACAAAAGTTTGAGACAGTATTTCTCAGTCTGATACACATTCTGGCAAGATCTTCATGATTAAATCACCAGATTAGCCGTTCCTTTTTCAATTCTCTTTCAATCCTTCTAATTAAATAAGGAATAATGTATCTGGCACTATTCAACACATCTGTAATACTTTTTTACTTTTCTTATCAGTTAAGGTACAGCAGACCAGAGTTACAGCCATCAGGCAGTAACATCTAGCCAGAATTTGGTAACATTTCTATTTCACAATTTGCATATTCAAAGACACTTTAATTAAAAAGCTGACTTTGTTAAGTAGGGAGCAGACCATCAGAGAGCTTAGTATTCTCTATATGCATTAGAATGCTGGAGACCAGACCAGCAGGGTGATCTGACTGACTGGCAGTGAGATTTGAAACATCAACAGAATCATTACCAAACAACCTGAGGGGCTTTTATTTCCTCACCTATGATTGTATGTGTCATTTCAACTTCGTGAGAAGGCCCCAAGAACTGTGAAAATCCTTAGAGGCCTTAAGTTAAGGCATGTTTTCTGTCAACTGAGTCCATAAGCTCCTTTCTGCTAGCAAACAGCTTTATAAGTTTATGCAAATTTCTAGTGCATACAGAGTTCAATAAAGTTCACTTTAAAAAAGAGTATTACTGATACAGGATGACTTGTACAAGAATGTACAAGACTTAAAAATTAATAAAGTTTGGGATATTGTAGACAGGAAATGTGAAAAATCAAATAGGAAAATAGTTGTCACCTTCACAGCCGAGATCTTATATAGATATTCTAAACTCTTTAAAGCAAAGACTTCTAAGATCGGAGAGGAGACAGCAAAAGGAATAAATTCTTGGACACAGACACTGAACAAAACTAAATTCAGCTGCTTCTAAGAAATAAGGAAAGAGAAAAGTAAAGACAAAAATTTCCCACTTCAATCCAAATGAACTTGGAGAATATAGAACTTAAATGAAGAAGGAGAACACTGGTTCTCCTAAGGCTACTTTCTTTTGCTTTTTAACTCTTAGTCATATTAAGATATTGAAGTATGTGGGGAGGATAATTTGTAGTTAAGAGATTTTTAAGAAAACATTTTCATTTGGCTTTTAATGGCACTGTGTCATAGACATCTGAATATACCTACCATTACCTCAGATTTCATAATCCATCAAAATAAACAGGATGCTAAAACATTGAAAGAAAGTATCTTGGAGGGGCTGCCTTAATTAAACCTGCCCAGTTCCCCTATATTCTATTTTAACATGAAACAACGTTTTTTAAGTGCATTATGTGATAAGGACTGTTAGGGATATGAATAAATTCAGTTTATGTCTATTGCCCTCAAGAAGCTTACAATCTACATGGAAGCCAAAGCATACACATTAAGTTAAATAAAAGGTTATCACAAAGGAAACAGATTTGAGCATCAAATGGAGACAAGAATTATGATTAAGGATTGTTCAAGAAAGACCCGCTGAAAAGGTAGACTTGATAGGGGAAAAAAGTATTTCTAGGTTGGGGAAGGAAACCTGTAAACAAGACTGTAAAGAGCTGGATGGGAAAAATCAAGAAACAATGAACATTTTATTGGGATAGCACTCAGTAACTTAGTTCATGATTCTCTGTAACCAATGGGTATATTTCCTCCCAGCTGACATAATTAAAATACAGGACTTAAGTATCTTTAAAAAATACAAATACACTCCTCAAAGAAGAGTAAATTAGTGGAAATTACAACTTTAGAAGATCACGTTTATATTTAAGGATCTGAAGCTTACAAATCTAACAGATCTCAACGTTTTTTGGTTGCATCACTTAGAACCTGAGTCCTCCTCTAAGATAACAAGACTTCTTTTTCTGAAAATAATGCTTATTCAGACAGTCTCAATTACTAAAGGTAACAAAAAAATCTGGGATCTTTAATCACCACTCTGTCCCATTAGAATCGTCTACTCCTTTTGCCTCTGAGAAACAATGCGAGGGATAATACAACTTTTTCAAGGTCATAAGGCAAATTTCAAAAATAAAACCGTGAAAATAAATTTTCTAGGTCTCCCTTAGTGCTTACTGTAAAATTTTCAATAATATCTAGCCCTAAACCTGTTAAATAAGCAAAATCAAGAAGGCATCGTTAACTACAATATGAAAAAAAGCCCTATATATCCAATTTAATCATGTATCTCTGACATCCAAGAGTCTGCATAGATTCCACAGATATCATACATTTTACTCAAAATTAAGAAAATGTCAATGTTTAATTTTTAAACAATAAAACCCATCCCTGATTATTTCACCTACAAGGAAACATTAAGTGGCATCACAATTAAGTATCTATTAGGAAAACCTGCCAAAGTCTGTCAAAAACAAACCACAGGGAAATACACAAGTATGTCGAAATCCCTGGCTTTTTACAATTATATAGGATTTTAGTAGGCCAAAAACTGAAATGAAAGGTTAGGTTACAAATGAGACTACAGGAAAACGAGGGGGAAAGGACACGAGAAAAAAATTAAGAGGAAGGGGAGGAAGCAGGCCTCTGAGGGAGGCAGCACCGCTAAACAAGAAGACTAAAAATCACTTACTCGAGCTGGCCAATGAGGATAACCTTTCATCTTGGCGAAGATGAGGTCTCCAGGTTTGAAATCGCGAGTCATGTTTCGGGGGTGAGGCCGGGGGTCCGAAGCGCGGGGAGGTGGTGAGGCGGTGCGGACGGCCAGGGGATGCAGGAGGGAGGACGGAAGCCCAAACACTCGGGGCGGCGGGAGAAGGAGGATGCCTCGGGATGCCCCGACGCGCCTGCAGCGGAGAGCACGGAAGGCGGTTAAAGCTGGGAAACCCGCAGGGAGGGGCCGCACGGGCGGGAGGTGGAGGTGGGAGTGAGGGAGAGCCGCCTCCAGCTCCTCCTCCGCCGGTGCGCGGCCTCCACAGCCCCGGGGCGATCCCTCCCGGCTCCCGCAGGTCCGCCGCCCGACGGCCGCCCGACGCACCACCTGAGGCAAAGATGCTTCTCAGCCCAATTCCCCTTGCTCCGCCCCACCTTTCCCCTGGCTTTTTTCAGCCGGCTTAAGCCCCAAGAGGGAGGGCGACTGGGGCAGAGGGGAAAAATAGATGTTCAAAGGAAGGAACGTTCGCCTTCCATCCACGCACGACCTCGCCCCAGACCTGCTTGCCGCCGGTCGCGGCCCCGGGCTGCCCCACGGCTCCCGGGCGGGCCGCGGCCGCCTCCCTACCGATGCCACAGGAGCGAGGCCACCGAGGGGGGGCGGGGCGAGTCTCCACCGCCCACTCACCTGCCGGGGCCGCAGGCGCTGGGGCTGCGGTGGCGGACCGGCCGCCTCTGCCCGCGTCCACGCAAGCCACCTGCGCCACCAGCTGCCGCAGAGGCGTCTCAACGGCTACTGGTCGCAACCGCCGCCGCCGCCGCCGTCGCTGCGCTGCTCCCGCGCGGCTCCCGCTCGGCGCCCGCTAGCCGTGGGGCAAGACCAACTGCTGGCCAGGGAGGGGGGACAGCCCAGCACCCGACTAAGGTGTGTGGCTCCCAAGCGGAACGTCCGAAGACCCTAGCTCCCCAAGTTCGCTTCTGGCTAATAGTTGCAGCCAGATGGGGCGAGAGCGGGGTGAGAAGGAAGAAAGGTGTGGGAGCATACAGCTCGGCCTGCTGGGGCTCCCCCTGCGGCGTGCGGAGTGGTCGTGCCCGGCCCGCCCCTGCTGGCTGCTCTGCGTGTGTGTATTTGTATGTGTACTGTATGTAAAAGGCGGGGAGGGAGGAAACGATTGTTGTGGACGCGGTTTGGGGGCGGGTATCAGGGCCTCCAGCCCTTGGCTGTGTGTTAGGGAGAACCTGGCAGCCTAAGCTACATGTTCTTGCATCGCTTCCCAGGATGAGGAGGTTTTAATGCTGCACTTGCGCGGTTTGCACAATCCAAAAAAGAACTGTACAAAAACCGATAGATGAAATAGGAACATGAGGCGGTTGCAGGGTGTGCAGATGGTAGGCCGCTTACACCTCGCTGAATGGGCCTTAGGGCTCCTTTTCCTTGATATTGTAATATGAGAAAGCCTTATTTCTTTTCTTTTACATTTAAAGCACCAAGAACTATTAAGAGAAATACAATCCTGCCGAATGCAAAATGTGAAGGGTAGAAAACAATGACAGTTAAATATAAGCCTTTTAGAGAGGATGTGGGTTTGGGGCCCGTACTAAATTTTAGCTGCATCTAAATTATATTTCCCTAGTAGAATGGTGGCTGGAAAGTGGTACAGTGTGGAAGTGTTACTAAGCCTCAGATGTTTTATCTCTTAAAATAACTTAAAAGGATTTATAAAATCATCCTATTTTTTTACCCTTTAGTCTGTGTTGGTTGTAATCTGTCCAGCCTTTTGAGGTGAGTTGCTATTTTATTATTTTTACTGTACCAGAACTATACCACCAGAATTGTCTGATTTTATTTAACCATTAACGTTTAGCCAGGTTCCCAATAAATGTAGTAAGTAAAGCATTTTGAAAATAAAAATTAGTCTCAAGTTTTATATGATCCTTCATTGAAACCCCCCCAAAAAAGTACCTACTGTGTGTCAGGCACTTTTAGGTGCTGGGGATACAACCGCGAGCAACAAGCACAGATACTTCCCATTTAAAACAATGAAAATATGAAAAAAGCATAAGAATATTAAAATGTATAATAGTACATAGCTCATTCTCTTAAAGGAAAGCCTCACAACTGCACATCAGGAAAAGCTTTATTAATAGGTAAAATTGAGAAGAACTCTTTGAAAAAGAGACACTTTTTCAATTAAATAAAAGAAGACATTTCCAATGTGAAATGTCCTGCAAGGAGTTTCAGGAGAGTAAATTATACCTTAGTAACAGGCCGAGAAACTGACAGGCAAGGGAGAGGGAAGGGTTGGAAAAATGTCTTTCTCATCCTGAACTTGAGTTTGATGTGATGTATATACTAAGGAGCTACTGTTAGTTGCTGAGCAAAAGAAGGGTAAAGATGTTTCTTTAAAAAGTTGTTCTTGCTTGCTACAAAGTAGATGACAGAAAGAGGCTAGAGGTTACTGTTGTACTCTCTAAGTCCGCATTTCTAGATACTAATGGCTATGAAAAAGTCAAAAGGCTCAGCTAAATACACAGAGGAGTAATTGTCAGAGGTTAGCCATAAATCACCCACAGAAAAAAGTAAAGAAAGATGTATTGAAGAAAATTCCAAGACACTGAGTTGGAGAGATCATCCAATAACCATTTCTTGTGCACCTCCTTTGTTCTAAGTTCTTTAAGGCTTTGCTTTGCAATTCCAAAAGTGGTCCAGAGCCCAGAAGCACCAGCTTCGCCTCCCTAGACCTGTTAAATCACAATCTGCATTTTAACAAGATCCCCAGGTGATTCTTTTGCATATCCAAACTTGTGAAATTACTCCTGTAGAGGACTCGACAGACTATAGGAACATGAAGTAGGGAAGACAGACATACAGTAGATAAATTATAATTAGTATTAAAGGATAACTCTTTATTAGTGCTAATGATAATGTTACGGAAAATACTGAAAAAAAGCCTGGACTGGATCACCGACAGAAAAAAACCAAGCGGCACTCGGAGGTCTTGGAGTGTTGAGGCTTTATTTCACAGCGGCGGGCTCAAAGGGGAGTAATCTCCCAAAAAGTCTGAGCCCCGAACAAAGGAAAAGGGAGCAATTTATACCTTTCTGCTCCCTTATCTGTAACATTCCTACGTACACAGCAAGCGAACAGACAAGGGGGAGGGAGTTTAGGGAGCGAACCTTGGAACCCGGTGCTCAGCAGCACAGGGAAACCAAGGGAGTGTTTTTTTGTTTGGGTTGAGGAGGGGGGCGAGGCGGAGGGGAGCCACCTCGTAAATTACTGTCCTTGTAGTGTTGCTTATGTTGAGGAAGGAGGGGTGGGAGACCGAGTGGAGCCACCCGCAGGTTGCTGTCCTTGTAAATTTTCCCTATCAATAATAGCAAGTAAAGAGGGAGTGGTCACTTGGTTACTGTGAGTAGGGGGTCATCAGTAAAGAAATGGAAAATGGAGGGAAATGGAAAAGCATTGATGTTTTAGTGTTAAGAAAGTACAGACTCAGCGCTTGCTATCTTTAGGTTTTGGCAATTCCAATTTGTGATAGTCTATAAAAAACAGGTGACACCCTTAAAACAGTAAGTCAGGGTAAAATGGTAAAACAGGTGGTAGTTTAGGCCTCCAGAGAACAAAAGCCAGGGACCCCTGGGAGCAGCAGTTCTGAATGGAAGGCAAAAGTGGGAGGGTTGGGCTCACTAGAGCACTTGGAGAGCTTTTCTGAGCTACCGTGAGCCTCTGACCCTATCCAGCCGTGCTTGATGCACCCCCTCCCCATTGTCAGCCTTCTCAGTGGGGATGCCAGAAAAAGTACAGCAAGACAGAGATTAGAGGAGCAATCAGAAAGTTGTGAGAAAGAATACAATTTCCAAAACACCTGAAGCCAGGGGGAGAGGAAAAGAGATGTAAATGAATTGAGGGAAGAGCTTGGCTTACAATTTCTCAATTAACTTGGGTGTTCCAATCCCCAATTTTTACTGAGGAGAAAACAACCTGACAGAAGTTCAGTAATTTGCCCCGAGTCACGCATCAAGTCAGGTGGCTAAGGCAACATTCTAGTCCATCTGTTCTCAAGTCCACGCCTTTGTATGGTCCCACACCACCTCTAGGTGGGGCTGGGGGCCAACCTAGCTGCAGGCAGAAGAGCTTATAATTAGAATAAGGTGATGGGAGGAAAAACAGCCCCAGCACTCACTCGTCCACCTTTTGTCTTTGGACTTGAAAGCACCAGCTTCAAATTTCCTAACAACCTCCCTCTGACCCACCCCATTCCCCAGCTTGTCCCCACCACCAGCACATTCCGTTTTAACTCCTTCTTGTCCTAAAGGACTCAATCCAAAAATCCCCTCTGGAAAGATTTCTGATCTCATTTTACTGCAGCATATCTAATTTACAATCTTTATGAGTAGTCTTTAAACTAGTTAGAAGTACCCATTATCTAAGTTGTCAGTGCCTGATATTTAGCTGGCACGAGCTAAAATTCTTCTCAATAAATATTTGTTGAATCAATGATAGGAAGGTGCAAGTGAAAACCCTGACCAAGACTCCCTTATCCTATAGGCTGAAAAAGCAGATAAAAAGCCACTTGAAGGCATTTGTTTGGTTTTGACTTGGTGGATTTTTCATGTCCTTACAGGTTAACCCTTTAAAAACACTGACATCTTTCATTGGTTACACATACATTCATTTTAACAATTTTAATGGAAATCTTTCTAAATGAGATTTGATACTTTATCCCAAAAACTTAGGAATAATAATTCTTTCTTTACATTTTTTATATAGAATATACATAATTCTTCACCTTACTACATAGTATTAATAGCATACCATAAATTGATCAGTATGAACCCCAGTTATTAGACTGTTTTCTTATGTGTAACAGCGTCATGATGGGGAAATTAGCAAGACATGAGGAAGATAAAGAGCATTCACCAAAGAGCTTGTTCGGTCAGAGATGTCTTGAATCTGATCTAGGCCAACTATTCCTGAAAATCAATAAGCATTTGGAACTTTGGGCCCTTAGGAGGACAAAAACCAAGCAAGATAGACTTGTTTGTGAGGAAGTGACTAGATTATACTGAGGTGGTAAACCAGTGGGTAGAGGAGAGTCATTCTCAGACATGGGATAAGATGCATTAATGAGTCTGAGTGCTCATTAGAACAGCTAAGAAGCTAGGCCAGGACAAGGACTGAGAGTTCCTTTGGTGCCTGTTCTGCAGGCTGCCCAGCCTATGTGCTGTTCCAGAGGAGCCTTTACAGCCCACTCCATGACCTTCTCTGGAATCACTTCTCCCCTCAGGCTCTCAGATGGCTTCTTTCCTACACCTCCACATCCAGCATCAGCTAGGCCTTCTCTTATCCCACGCATCTGTGAACCACACTTCTCTTTAATCTTCTGTCTGTTTTTTTGTGCCTTATTTCCTTCATCTTCTTATTCTTCTTGGACATTTTTTCCCATTTTCCTGCATGTTCTCACTTCCTGATTTGGCTACCTGAGAGGTGTAGCTTTGAAAGGAGAATCCTCTCTTGTTCTGGCCAATAGATGGTGTCTATACTTTGTGCCTTTGGTTCTTCTGGGGCGGAGAAATGATTAATGAATGCCAAGGGTTAGGATTTGTAAGGGGAAAGGGTTTGGGATGACTATAAAGTTGTAGCATTAGGGAGGTATTCACATGATGGAGTAGTTCTGTATCTTGATTGTGGTAATAACTGCAGGAATCTACCTCTGTAATAAAAATGGCGTAAAACAATACATACCCATTGGTTTTGTCATTTACTATAGCTAATTAAGGTATAATCATTGGAGGAAAGAGGTCTGTATTATTTTTGCAACTTCCTGTGAACATATAGTTATTTCAAAACAAAGAAGTGACAAAAATAGATAAATA